TGAGTCACATTCAACCTCCGGTTTTTGCACCTAGGGCTTCCTATTGCTCGGATTTGAGGTGATTTTAATGCAAACAAGTTTGGATTTCATCTTCTCTAGGTAATAGCTACACTTTGAACTCAAAATTTTTTATTTTCACCAAGGATTTGTCTTACATTGCCGAGATCCGAAATTTTGAGATTTTTTTGGAAGATTTTGAGAAAATTCTTTGGTGAAGAACTCTTACTTAGCATATTTAAGTTTAAAACATTTCACATTGTGATTTTTGGAATTTTTGGGAATTTATTTGGATTTTATCAATTTTTTGTAGATTTACCATGACACATAGAATGACCAAAGGAAAGAGAAAAGTAGATTTTGATGTTCAAAAGTTTGTCAATTACAAGGCCAATATTTACTTCAATAGTCTACGTACAACTAAACAAGTGATTCCAGATTGAGGATCTAAAAATCTGAGAGGAGAAGTCAAGAGATTAATCAATGCTCGACAGTGGGAGAATTTCTGCTACTGTACTGCTGAGGCGATTATTGGTGTAGTGATGGAGTTCTACGCCAATTTTAAGGAGACTTTTCAATTCTATGTGTTTGTTCGTGGGAAAATGGTGGAGTTTACTATGTGTTTTTGAAGACTATGTGTTTGTTCGTGGGAAAATGGTGGAGTTTACTCTAAGGAAGATTAATAAATTTTATCAATTGGAAGATGTGTAATATCAACACATGTTCCATCAATAACAACAATACAATCTTATATCACATCATAATCAATTTAAATTTTAAAATTCTTTGAATTTTTAAAAAATAGAAATTTTTGCAATATACCTTGAACTATGATATATATCAATGATTGCATGATATTCTCTAGGACTATTTCAAAATGTTGGATTTTTAGGTTTGATAACTTCAGATTTACAAGTGATAGAGTCATCTTGAACTTTTATATCTAGCAGTTGAAAAGAATAGTTGTAGGCTCTATTAATTGTAGGAACACTCAATCTATTGCTTTTGGAGAGACTACTGGAGGTTTAGCACACCCTGCCCTGATCTTCACACTATGTGAATAGGCAGGAATTGATTATAGACCAGATAAGGAGAGGATTGAATCTCTAAAACCTATTGGGTCTGCCAATATAAAGACTTATGAATCTCATGTTCGATGGAGATCTAGAAGTAGGACCAGGGATATTCCTTCTACTTTAGGTACTTCTAGTACCCCTACAATCCAAGTACTTATGGAGCAAATGATGATCCAATAGGGAGGGCAAAAATGCTCACTTTGATGATTTGAATCACCCTTCATGAATTACCTTCTCACTCACATAATTAATGTGATTCTTACTAGTTGCGGAACACATAGCCCTCCAATGAAAGAAAGTGCAGCACTCTAGTTTTCAAATCATAAACAAAGACAATGTCAACTAATGAGGATCATTATGGATTCACAATGTATTTTAAACATACCAATTGATCAGGTTGAATATGTAAATTAAGTATGAAGTAATGAATTATTACAAGTATGGAATAAGAGAAATCTTAAACAATTATAATCCTACGCATGATTAATTCTCATCACAATGAGAAAGAATAACGAAAACTACTCAGTAAGGATGTATAAAACACATGAATTCTTCATTGCAAATGACTTTAAAAACCCACAACTATATTGAAATAATTCAAAGCAAATTCAAAAGAAGTTTAAGACTTATCTTTACAGATGATTCATGCCCTCTTTCAGAGCAAATAAAAATCCCTTACACTTCTTCCACAGTCCCAAAAGTTACCAACACTCCAAAAGACACTTCACCTCTTACACACACACACACCTCCTTGAAGAGGCACACAAAACTCCTCTCCAAATCCCTCCTAAACTCTTCTTAATACTCTTCCATGAGAGACGTCATCCCTCATTTTAAAGAGAAACCAAACACCTCCTCACTCCAAGAGGCACACATTTTCACTTTAAAAGACACAACATTTCACTCTAAGAGACAAATCTTTTCATTCCAAAAGATGTGAAATGCCAAAAGGTGCATTTCCAAATGTCTAGATTCATTGCATAACTCTTTAGGGCGTGCAAAACTGCCTGAAATCTTCCAGTACAAACCGTTTTTGGTGCCTAGGCATCAAATTATGACTGCTAAGTGCCACTTTATAGATGAGACTGGTGCATAGACACCACTTTCTGGCACCTAGGCGCCACCCTATTGGCAACACCTCTGTTTTGCCGAATTTCAGCTCTGCTTTGCCCCATTTCAGCTCCAATCTGGTCCAAGTGTTATACCTACATGATAAACATGAAAACATCATAAACATGAAAATAACATTTATTTAAAGTGCAATTTCATTAAAAAAAGTGATAAATGTAAAGTAGATTGAGCATAAAAAGACATATCAAAATACATCATATCAGAACTTTTGTCCTTACTCTATTTGACTCCAAATTGCATTATTTTTGCTCCATTTTCTCCAAAACTCCATCTCTTGTGCCTGAAACCAAAAACATGCATAATATCTTCCATTAAAGTGTAATATCATTAAAAATAAACATAAAATGTATATGAAAAAGTAATACATTTTTAGGAGTATCAATAAGTGCCTACTTTTTATTAAAGGGTAACATATCATTCTTAGTTAGGGTGTTATCCTTGCTATTTAGAGTAGATTCATATCTATTTATAATATTGTCAGCCTTGCCCTTGTGACTTCATTTATTTTTTTTTGTGCACTTCTTGTATGTTTAATTATTGTTTATAAATGAAGTAATTAGTTGCCTTATTTTATTGATGCACAACTCCTTACATATTTGAATAAATTCAACAATTGTAATATTTAATTTTCTTGCAATTTACCTTTATGAATTACATATAGATTTTTTTTATATCACAAGCTTGTGTAAATTAGCATATTGATTATATATTTACTTTTGAAAAAAAAAATATAATTGTCTATGATTCCATGTGATGATGTTGGCTAAGTAGGCCGATGGGCCAAAAGAATGACGAGTTTGTAGGAAATTAATGGGTTTTCTTAGGTTGGTGTTTACCTTCCCAATTTTGGTATGCCCAATATAAATTTAATGAAACTGAATAATAAATAATTATTATGTTATACACTGGTAAAACTTACTCCGATTTGAAATGTTGCATGTTTCATTAAAATAATTGAGCACATTCATAAAAAGAATATTTACAACACTCTTATTGTCTTGTGATGTTATATATGCCATAGTAATTGTTCCTCTTTATTTTTCATATTATTTGTCCCAGTCCTTGTCATTTATATTTTAATAAATAGTTGTTCTTATTAAGTTTGATTTTTCAAACTCACTTGTTGATATTTTTGAATAACATATTCTATTCAGCCATTTGTATGACCTTCTCTATAGAAGTAAATATTCCAATTCTAGATTTTTTTTGTATTTTCAATATTTGTTTTAGTTATTATATTTTCTTTTATGTGTTTTGGGTAGTTATTTCCCCTATTCTCATTCTACTTTTGATTCATTAAGTTTTTATTTTTCTAGGTTGCATCAGTGAAACTCTTATTTATGTAACAAAATAAAATTGATGTTTTTTGTTTATTATTTAATTATTTGCCTACAATCCTTTCATTTGAGAATATAAAAGATATAATAAATACAATCATGAATTGTGTTGGTGGGGTGTACTGCCATCCGGATACAAGGTGTGACAACACTCTTAAAAAGTTATTACGAAAAATTCATTTAGGAAGTGGATCAAGATTACTATACAAAGTTTTCATTAATTCATTTATTGGTTATTGAACATTTTTAAAATGCATGAATTTTAGAAAATGCATAGCAACTATAACACGTACAATTATAAATGCATGGCAATCAAAATAAAATTATCTTATAAATGGATGAAATTTGGATAAAATGTAAGAAACACAAGAAAATGGGTTATTACTAAATTTTTTTTATATTTATCTGTTGAATCCAGATTTATCCAGAGGCATGCCCATAAATCAGAGAGGTAGAAACCTTAAGAAAGAAATAGAGGGAGACAAAGAGGAAGAAATAATTGAATGAGCACACAGAGACTTGCCTCATAAAAGCAAATTGAGATATTCCCAGATTCTGTGATCCATTTTATATATTGTGACCGGGTTATAAGAGAGAAGGTGAGAGTGATCTCCCCACAAGAGGAGAGAGCCTAAAGAGGCCAAAGCTTAGAGAAACATAGAGAAGCAAAAATCCCTTAATACATGTTATCTACCCCTTATTTATAATGTACAAAGGGAAAATGTGGAAAATTACTTGTCATTTTTTTTCATATTTGTAACTGGTTTTGACATCTTTTGTGCCTGGACTTTCTAGACGACACATCCTAGTCAGTCGACTATTTTGCCTTGATGCTGGTCGACCTTTGATCTAACAAGCCGATTAGCTTTAAAAGTGGTAGCCAGTCGGAATTAGGGTGGTTTGTCGACTTTCTTGTTCCACGTTGATCTTTGGAGATTTTTGAGAATGTTGTTGAGAGAGCCTCATGTTGATACCTATGAGATGGCCGAGGGTATTAGACATTTGTCTGGTCGCTAGCACGGATGCCCCTTTCTGGTCAGCTTGGGTGGGCTTTTGATCATCAAACTGGTACGGTCGACTGCCAACCATTCAGAAGGCTGACTACCGGTCGGTTGACGATTCTTTAGCCACTTGGCTTCATGGGTACCTGCAACTTTTCGTCAGATGAATGTTCTTCGTTTTATTTTATTTAATCCGGGTTGTTAGATTGTCTCATGATTCGTGCAAATCAATTATATAATGAAATACAATACACTCTGTTAGACCCCATGAAATAGTCCAACTAAAAAAATGTGACTCGAGAGTAAATTTAGGGTTTATTTATATTTTTCTTCGTTAAGAACGAAACATTTATCTTTTAGAAGTAGGGTTTATAAAAGGAAATGAGTTGCCCTTTACTGGCGCCTTTTCAAGGCGCGCCGTTTCTGGGTTGCACCCTCGAACGCCAAGCTTGGACAAGCTTGCTGGTTCCCGAATCCGCTTAAACTGCTATTCTTGAACTGCTACACAGTCTAAAAAATATATTTGCTGCGAGCACATTGTCTCTGCAAAATGGTTCCACGGGCTGCTATAATCATCGGGTTTCTGCTGCTGCTGGCGGCAGTGGCGACGCCATCTTCTGGCCCCCATATAGCAGACCTCAACATTCTGCTGCCTCCTCGCTTGACGAACCCTGTGCCGTATCGACTTCAAGGAAGAGATGGCTGCTTCTCTTGGTTCTCTCTCTTCCTCCTTTTGATCACCACTTTATTCTGCTGAGTGTGGGATATGCAAGAATTTCTGCCTCCATTGGTGCATACTTTCAAAAATATCACACTATTTGGTTAACAATTGTGTTGGTGTGCTTATTGTAGTGCATCTTGCAAGGGTATCTTGGTTGTAAAAAAAACACATATCTGCTATTTTTGTTTTTCAGTCTTTCTTGAAACGCATATATGTTTTTTACTTAGCTTCTATTACTTTCTTTGAAGTGTGCCTTTAGGATCTCTTGTGTGAGTATCTCTATAAAAGCCGCCTGTTATGAAGAAATTCCTAGAAATACTAGTACGGTCAGCGAGCAATATCACTCTTTATAGATAGTAGCTGCCAAGTGATGGCTGGACAATTTCCCGTGTAAATTACAGCCACAAATTTAAGGATCTCTTTCTTTCTATTTTTACGATCATGCTACTCCGTCATTTTGATGTGTGAATAGTGACATAAGCGGCTTTGTACATGGAGGGAAGTTATTTCAGACCCATTGACAGGGAAGCCATGATATTCAAAATTCTTCTATACGCTGCTGCACCTGAAGTGACTGCAACACTTCGGCTTTCTAATAAACTCCGTCATTTTGATGTGTGAATAGTGACATAAGCGGCATTTTTCATGGAGGGAAGTTATTTCAGACCCATTGACAGGGAAGCCATGATATTCAAAATTCTTCTATACGCTGCTGCACCTGAAGTGACTGCAACACTTCGGCTTTCCAACAAACACTGGGAAATGTCTCTTTCTCCTTACTCTCAGGAAACCAAGTAAAAACTTAAGGATGTTGCTTTTCTTTTTGCTAGAAGTTGTAATCTGATTGGTTACATCTGTCCGTCTTTCATGGCAAGTAACCAATATAAATGCCAGTTTTATTATTTTCAGCAACACTCCTGCTATGAAATTTTGAGTGACCGGATTTGAATTATTTATTTTGATCTTCTGCGGGTATCTTTTTTCAGGTTTTGGACCTTTTTTCTTAAATTCATATAACTCACGGTTCAGGAAAGTAATGTGTATAAATGCTTTAATGGCTTAGTCTGTGGTCTGCCTGGATCTAGCTCTCTTTTTCACATGACATAGGCATTAGATCTTCTGGCTACTGTTGTTGGTGATACAGTTCTATATCATTGTAATAACTAAGATTATGGAGGGTAGATTGTTAAAAAGTGGTTCTTTTAACAATAGTTCTTGGGTTAAAGTCTTGATTTACGCATCAAGCCCATTAAAAATCAGAATTATTTTTAAAAGTATGTTTGATCATGATAGTTGATTTTGCAGTAAGTGACAAGGCAATGCTTTATTTTCTGTCATAGAAACTAGTTTTCATCAACTTTTTTTTTATTGGAGTCATAATAATCCTCAAGTTGCATGCTTATAATTCTCTCTTACATGAAGTTAATTTTGATTTTTTAATGTGTCAACTGATTCTTTGGCAGGTCATGGGATCATCATGATATTCTATTAGTTCAACCTGAATATAATGATAGTAGGCAATGCTCCACAAGCGCCAGATTGATATCAATTGCACCATATGGTGAAAGAAAGGAGACTGCTGTCTATGCTACAGACCTCCGAACTGGAGTTATGGTTCGCTGTAAAGTTCTTATTGATAAAATTTCAAGGATTAAAATATTTCATCATGCTGTCAAAATCAATTTGGACGAGCTAGCAACACTGCATATTACTGCATTTGACGATGAAGGTATCTGGAATTTTACAAATGAGATCCTTTTTGGTATTCATCACTACAGGCATTAAATGCGAAGCTATTTATATTTTAAATCTGTGCGTAGAATTTTTTTTTTTAAGAACTATAAATGCAACATTGATTAGCCTGCAGACAAGTAATAATAAGAGAGTTATTTCTTCATCAATTGCTTGGATTCTAGAATCAACCAGGTTGTGGCATGCTAGAATCTACTTTGGTTGATTTACTATGTAAAGGAAGGTTGCAGAGGGACAAACCAAGGTTAGATGCAAAAGAAGTTATGGCTAAGTTATATTCAAGTTGTTTAGTTTATTCTGATTGTTGACAATCTAAGTGAATACTGGACATTCATTCTCCATATTCATCTTGAGATTGTATAAGGATAAGATGAAATCAAAATGTTCAACAGGGGAAAGCGCCAGATTGTGTGATCATACCTTTTTTCTAAATTTTTGGTGAAATTTGCATCATGATCGAACTTTTTTGCCTGTATTTTCTATTCTAAACGTTACAACTTTCACATAGCTAGGGCATTGAATTTAGCATTACAAGGATTTCTTGAGGATTTGACTAAAGATACCCTCAAGGCAATTTTGAAGTAGTACTGTTATCCACCAAACGAGGAAATGGAAGATTTGGAGCATAGCAGTAATTGGCTTAATCTAGTTTCTCATAGACTTTCAAAGGTGAGTGGCCTGTATCAGCTTAATACTAGAGGTTATTGTTGATGCTAACCTTTCCAAATTCTCGTGGATAATAATTTACTGCTCTTAGGAGACCATTCAAATGGTGTGGCGTAGTTAGTTTTAAAGCACATCAAGTTTTTTTTTTATGGTTGAAGGGGGTATTGGGTGTGCACTATTCACTATTGAACTTCTTGCAAAATTCTTGCCAACTTTCAAGATACATATGTAGAACATCAACAAGTAAATAAATTATCTAAATACACAAACATACAAGAATAATCAGAAGTGTACAAAATATGATAAACTAAAATAAGAGTGAGCAAGTGCTTAGCACAATGCAGATGTTATCACATGACTAGTAATTATGCAAAGTAATTTATGGATGTAATGAAGCAAGTTTCTGTTGGAGTTGAATCAAGGGCAAGCTATATGAGTGATTAATAGTACAGCTGAACATAATATATGTCTACTTAACTTTGCAAATTTTAATTTACTTGAATAATAAAAAAGTGTCTGCACAACAAAGAATATAGTGATGATCTATGGAAATGCTAGGAACGAGTGCTTCACATTTAATCACAATTATAAGAGATTACTTAGCAACTTCAGCGTATGATCATTTAATCATCAAATCATTATATGATATTTGCAACATTCAAATCAAGTAAATAGACGCTAAAAAATGTAAATATATACTAAAGAGCAAAGACTAATGATTTTTATGTTGTTTAACGTTAGATCGATTTACATCTATGTCTAAGCGTCCCTTTCTTAGGCTCCACACAATCTCCTCTAATGGTTGAGAGTTTTTTTTCCTCTTAATGGTGTAGTCTCTACATCCGATAAAAACAATCACAATGCCTTCATATCACAGGCTTGGCAATTCAAAATCCTTTTTAGTAGATAAAAAATGCCAATCTAAAACCCTTGAAAACTTAAATGGTGTACATGGCAAACTCCAACTAATCTATGTGCACCATCTTTTCTAATGACTGCTAAATTTGCAAATAAAAAAAACTTGAAACAACTGAGAGGGATTGATGGAAAAAAGATGAAAGCTTTCCAGGAGCTTTTGATTTGATGAGCACTTTCATTTTTTTACATACAAGCACTTGCAAAAGATTTAACAGAGCTTTAGTCCATAGATAAACTTTATAGTTTCTTCTTATTCCATTATATATTTATCTAGTGGGGAATGACTTTGGAGTCCTATTGAAAAAAAAACACAAAAAGTCACAAAAAGCACCTAGAAAAATGAGCTCAAATGGTTGGAATCATTTATGTGGCGACTAGTTTAAATAGCTGTTACAGGGCTTTTCCAACAAATACTATCCTTTTAGTTAAATAATTTATCGGGCGACTAATTTACAACGAATACCAAAACTTTCATGTAGATAATACAACCTTGAATCTCCACTCATGTCTCTATAAATTCTCTACTCGTGTCTCTTAATGATGAGGATCCAAGAATGTTAGTGAGTATGATTATTATTTTGTTGGCTGCTTATAGAATTATATGTAGAAATATTATAAATTATGTGATTATAACACACAAGGTTTATTATCATCAAATCATTAACGAGCCATAGAGTTCATGATGGTGCATATAATCAAATAATCCGATGAGGTGACATTTTGTTCTCATCCAACTACTATTTCAATTTTCTAATCAATTTATCAACATGATCATTTTCTTTTAGAGCAATTTAGCAATTGATTTTTAATTATGATTGCTTTATGCATGCTAACGAAGTTAGATGTGCTGTCCTATAATAAGAGAAGAAGTTATATATGAAATAACAAATGGCATAAAAAAGAATTTGGGAATTTTGATTAAATTAGATCGATTATAAGTACATATAATAATAATTTAGTCAAATATGATATCAGTAGAAGATGAAAATTATAAGATGAGAATTTGAAATAATAAATTGTTTTAGAGTGCAATTGTCTTAATTTGTTATAGATTGTTAACAAATTGAATTGGAACCAAATTTTGAAAAGGTTACATAAAGGTAAAGCTTTTGGTCTAGATGAGATATCTATTGAGATTATGAAAGTTACATGTGATATTATAGTGGTTTGATTGTTGCATTTTTTTCAATGGAATTTTGAAGATTCAGATGATGCTAAATCTTTGCGGATGAAATATTTTTGTAATATTTAAGAATAAATGAGATATTTAAGATCGTGGTAATTATAAATAATTCAAATTTATGAGTCATGCAATGAAATTATTTATTTTATTTCAAAGAATTGATGTAATTTTGTGCTATAAAGATCAATTATGGAACCATTTTCTTGCATCAAAGCAATTAATAAAAAAAGTAGGGAGTAGACAAGATTTTCATATGAATTTTATTAATATTTAGAAGATATCTATGATCGCGTATCTCAAGAGTTGATTGGGTGCATAATAAGGATGAAATGTGCATGCTCAATGTATTTTGAAGCCTTAAAGATGTGTATCATTAAACACTAACTTTCATTAAAAATAATTGTGGATTGACAATAGGATTTTCAAATACATATTATGTGAAGAATTACGTGAAGAATTTGCATTGAATCCATATTATTTTATATTAGTTCTAAATAAGATTATAATCGATACTCAACTAAAGGTGCCTTAGTGTATGTTTTTCATAAATAATAGTTTCAACTGGTCGGACATTTGCTGCAGTAAATATAAAATTATTATAGTGGAGAAATGTTAAGAAGAAAGAGGGCTTAGAATGAGTTGAATAAAGATACAAGTATTTGATTCCATACTATTGGGCGTGCTATTAACGATCATTATTGAATATTAATAGAAGATCATCTTTTGGTTTGACATGTTTAATTTGCTTGGATATCTTACTACAAAACAGTTTGGATGATCTAAGGTCATATGGAGTATATTAGGTGATAAAAGGATGCATGAATGCCTTGAGGTAAATAACAAAGCCATATTAAGGCTAACTTTGTTGTATGGTTTGGATTGTTGGACAATAAAATAGTAATTGATTGCTAAGTTGAGCATGATCTAAATGAAATTATTAAGATGACTGTGTGACAAAGTTAGAAGGGATAACACACACAATGATTATATTAGTCGTATGATTAGTGTAGCTTCTATTAAACATAAATAATTGAAAATAGACTTGGTGTACAATGGAGTGTCAAAAGACCAGTTAGTAAAAATTGAAGGCTTATGGTAATAATGTATAGAACTACTCCAAAAAGTTTTGCGGATAATTAGTTCAATAGCTTAGGCAACAATTAACATTAAAAAATGAAAAATTAGGATTCGTCAAACCGAACCTAAATATTTGGGCATAAGGCATTATATGTAGATTATGATGATGATGATAATGATGACGACGACGATGATGATGATGTGTCCTAATGAGTGCTATTACTCCCATCTTTTGGTTGGTTAAGTGTAATATCCTCATAAGATTGTTATGTAATCTTTTGAAGTTTCAATATACCTGTGGTACCCCTGATTATTTGGATGACAGCACATACTATTTCATTACTTTGCTTTTGGAACTTGTGCCTTCTGCTTGATCAGAGAAGTACACGATGCTCTTATGTGGATTAACTATCAAACCGATGTTTTTTATAAAATTATTGAAAAGCATTCTGCTATCCTGTTGCTTTTCTTAAAGACGAGGACACAATCATTGTAAACTCTGTGAAGCAGAGCTATTTAGAGTCCGTAATTAATTTCTGTTGGCCTGCTCATAAATATAGGTGAAAGATGTAGTTCATGGCGAGAACTATAAAGTGTTGGCCAAGCCAACAGTTTTGTTCCTTTCAGAAAATGTGGGTAATCAATAATTATACCAATGAGTTGAATGCTGAAGGTAATAAACTACCATTTATTTTAACTAATCCTTCTTAAAAAACTACATAAATGTCTTTCCAGCTACCAGCTAGCTCCCTTGGCTAGAGGCCTTTGTAGCATCTATTTTTGCAGTACTCTCTTCTTGGAGCAGCCCTGACCATTCCCTTTGCATTGTTCCGGCTATAGTTTGTTTCCATTTACTTGATTGTTCTCTAGATTGAACCTTTTTAAAATGTCTGGAATTGACATGGCAGATGTATAACTGATATTTTCGAATCTGGTTTTTCATTGACAGTCAGCCCCTCTTTGGATATCAATGACTTCTAGTATGCTGCATGTGTTGTGGGCTAGCACATGCAACTAACAGGGGATATTTATTTTATATACTTCATTTCTTTTATGGAAGTTTATCCATTCACTTTTGTCCTGTTCGTTTTTTTTTTGAACTTGTGATTGTATTTGCTTGCAATGCATTTTAGATTTGATTTGATAACAAATTGTGAATACAGTTTGAATCTCGGCCATTCCTGTAAAATTTCATTTATATAGCTTACTAGATAACCTCAAACGAATTGTTTGTCTTATTATCGTAGACCTAATTTGATCATGTGCAGGAATTTGCCATATATTTTTTGCTTTTGTTTCCTGTAGTATTATTCATTTGTTAGGTTCTTTTGATTTTTAACTTTCAAACTTTGATCTAATTGTAGTTTTCAGATGTAGGTGTAATTATTAATTGACCTAAAGTGTACTACTCTTAAGGGAATGTGTCGTGCTTACGTAAGAAATAACACAATATCTTTTAATTCAGTTCAATGGTTTGCAATTTTTGCTAAGGTTATCAAGGACATAGTTGCCCTTTTTTTTTATAGGAAGGTGATAAAATGGCTTCATAGAAACTTACTTTGCTGTCCAATTGATTTAATTTCAGAGAGTTATTTTACATGTTGCTGCATCTTACTAGTGATAAAACCTATAGTTTTTTAATGGTCATCACAAAAAATCAATGGGATAATACTTGAAATTGAATAAGGTCATGGTGAATTTTCCTTCTCTAGTTATGAGAGTCATTCTATCGCTTATTGGGTTAATTTTTTGCTAATTTCACCTGTTAACTTTTCAGAGTGTTCTAATCTTTTTTCTTTTGAATCCCTGCAGACAACGTGTTCTCATCACTGGCAGGCTTACGATTTTTGTGGCAGCTAATTCCCAAATCTTTGGAGGCTGATCGTATGCACCGCCTTTTTCATGTTCCACTGAAGGAAACACCTCTCAGTGACTGTGGTAGTGGTTTTTGTGGGGATTTGGACGCCCGGATTGAGCTAGAAGAAGATGTATGCTCCAGATTTGGGTCTTTTGTATTATGATTGCTGCCTACTGCTTAAACTGCCTAATAAAGTTGGATTAATGTACCACTATATATAAAGTCTTTCTTTTTCTATCTTGTGCATTGCAGGGGTTAGGATCTGACTTGTATGTTGTCAAAGGAGTTGGAATTGGTCATGAGATTGTTAAAGCCAAGTTGCTTGAGCCACAACTAGAACATGTGGAGGACGAGATTACTTTAACTGTTGCCGAAGCAATGTCCCTTGATCCTCTTTCGCCAGTTTTTGTGACTGTTGGCACATTGATATACTACAGTCTCAGGGTTATACGTGGAAATGCTCCTCAAGGTTTTAAAGGCGAACTGCTTTTGATTATTTGTCATTATAATATCGTTTTTTCTGCTGTACATTTATGAGATTTTATTTTAACATAGTTGATAGAATGTGGTATTGAATATTCAGTTGTCGATTTGAAACGATAGATTGCATGATTGCAGTTTATTGCTTTTGGTGGTAGACTTTTGGAATGCCAAGGAATACCATGGAATACTGTTCTAATAATTTAAGATGTGTTTTCATTTGTTCTTTCTTTTAAAGTTAAGTATTTCCCTAC